CCGGTGTAATAAGGGCTATTTATGGTAGGAAGGGCCAGGTAGAATTCACTGTATCTGTTAATACTGTATCCCTGGGGAAATCACACAGATGAGTGCCCGCCAAAGATTTGAAGGATGTGTGTGTGTGTATGTGAGGTGGGAGGTGGTTTCTAGTACATCCTCATTTAACTTGCCTGTTTGGCCTGTGCAAAAGGTATGCAGGTCTTGGAGAATGATAGTTGATAATCAAAATTTAATAATTAATGCCAAACATGACTTTTTTAAAAGCTAGATAAATCGTAAGAAACTGCAGAACATTGGCAACACCAAGATCTTAAAAGCAGCCATAAAGAAAAGACATTACCCTCAAAGGAAGACAAACAGAATTAGAGGCTAGGAAATCTACTGCTTGGTGCTTTTGGGATGGCGGAAAAGGTATAGTTCTGATGACAGAAATGGAAGCTGCAGTATAATGTGAGATTAAGGATAAAATGCCCTTCTGCCAGTGATTGGAAGCCCAGGAATGCAGCTACCAGGATAATTTGCTTACCTGACCTCGAGGGATTCAGTGCTACAGGGCTCCTGGTGTCACATGTATCAATCTTACTTTAGATAGCCAATGAAATAGATTCTGGCTGGCAAAAGAAGAAAAAGACTTTATTGAACTGTTGGGGCTCAAAGATGCACTAAGAAGCTCCCCCCTCAAAAAAAGGGGGGATGAAGTCTGGGCATCCACAAGCACCTTAAGTCCTACTTCGGAACCAGAGTGTTGATGTGGAGATGCCACCACTGCCACCAGAATGTATTCTCCACGTTCCCTCCTGCTTTGCTATAGATTGAGAAATTCAGGCAGAAGCATCTGATTAACCAGTCCTTGGTCACATGGCTACAAGGGGCAGGGATTCTGGGAAAGCAAACATCTGGTCTTTTATATGTTGGGCAGAAAACTGATGAGTGGTTGTTAGGGGTGGGGAGAGAGTGGTGACTATGAAGGGATGGACCGTATGAGGGAGTTTTATGGGGTGAGGGAATTCTAATTGTGCTCTGTATTCTAATTGTGCTGATGGTCACAGGAATACATACCTGCCTTAAAAATTCATAGAATTGTACACCAAAAAGTAGTTAATTTATTGTATACTTTAAATAAATAAAACACAACTATGGTCTGATGACCAGTTGCAGAAATGAGGACTGCAGTAGCTACCCATAGTTTCTGCCTTTCTCTTTTAGGTACATAATTATATAGAGTAATCAATTTATTTCCCTACTTCTCCTCTACTATTTTATATAAGGTGAGTTGATAGTAGTTAACTTTTTGCAGTCCACACGTTACAGGATATCAAGATGGGACTGAGATTGAATTAGGAGGAGTGGACATTACCCATCGATGGATCCAAGTGACCAACAGAAACTTGGATTTTCCCTTAGGAGAGAAGATTACTGCATTTTTGTTGGTATGAGGGAGATTTACGTTATGACAGGCAGCAGCATACCACTGATGCTATTAGTTCTTATGTAGAAGTATGGGAAGAAGGGTGTGCTGCGTGGGAAAAGAGGTGAATAACATAGATGCTTGTGGTGGGCAGACTCTACAACGCACCCCCTACAACCCCTGCCTCCTGATGCTCATGCCCTGTGTAATCCTCCCCCCTTGAAAGTGCATGGGACCTGTGACTTGCCTTTAACCAACAGAATATGGCAAAGGGGATATGTCACTACTGTGAGACTGTATTATTATTTTTTTAAACGTCTTTATTGGAGTATAATTGCTTTACAATGGTGTGTTAGTTTCTGCTGTATAACAAAGTGAATCAGCTATACCTATACATATATCCCCATATCTCCTCCCTTTTGCATCTCCCTCCCTCCCACCCTCCCTATCCCACCCCTCTAGGTGGTCACAAAGCACTGAGCTGATGTCCCTGTGCTATGCGGCTGCTTCCCACTAGCTATCTGTTTTACATTTGGTAGTGTATATGTGTCTATGCCACTCTCTCACTTCGTCCCAGCTTACCCTTCCCCCTCCCCGTGTCCTCAAGTCCATTCTCTACATCGGCGTCATTATTCCTGTCCTGCCCCTAGGTTCTTATTATATAAGACGCTACCTTGCTAGCAGACTTGCTTTAGAAACTCTCCTTGCTAGACTGATGAAGTAAGTGGCCATTTGAGGGCAGCCCACACGGCAAGGTTGGGCAGCCTGAAGAAGTTGAGGGCAGTTGCTGGGAGCTGAGTAAAGCCTCTAGGAGCTGAGGGTGGCCTCCAGGAGACCACCTACAAGAAGCTGGGGCCTCCAGACCTATAACCATATGGAAATGATTTCTGTCAATAGCCTGAGTGAGCTTGGAAGTGGATTCTTCCCCAGTTAAGCCTCTACATGAGAACCAGCTTGGCTGACACCTTGGTTTTGCAGCCTTATGAGATCCTAAGCAGAGGACCCAGCTAAGCTGAGCCCAGAGGCCTGACGCATTGAAATGGTGAGATAATGTGTGTTGTGATAATTTGTTACACAGCAAGAGAAAGCAAATATAGTGCTCGATGTCCATTCCAGCCTCTTAGTATGCCTTCCTGTACTGCAGGGGCTAAAAAGCTAAGAGTACATTTCCCAGATTCCCTTGCAACTAAAATTCTGGAGATATTACAGGCCAATGAGATGCACACTCGTGAGACTTAAATGGCAGAAGGAAGGTGGAGGCTAAGTTTCTGCCATTTCTGCTGGTGAACATGGTTGTTCAGATGTTTGGTTGTTCTATTGCAATTTAGCCACTAGCTTGCGGGTGCTGAGAGGCAGGACGCTTGGCATCCATTTTGCTGGTATAAATCATAGCAGGTGGAGCGTGGTTCTGGAAGTAGCAGCTGTAGTGCTGGCTTTTCATCATGGAGTAGGAAGCAGCAGTTTCCTAACAGCAGAAGAATTAGCAACTCCCTTGGTGGCCTGGTTCTGTGGTATAGTTTTGGAAATTGTTCTTGAAAGCTCAATTTAGAGTCAGTCCTCTTGATAATTCTGTAAGCCACTTAATATCTGGTAATAAATCTTTTCCTGCCTAAACTAGTGAGAATTAATTCTGTTCTCTGCAATTGAAACTTAACTAATATAGGAGGGAAGTCCTCAAGTGATAACTGAGTTAAGTATCTATAAAAGTACATCATAATAAATAATAGTAAGATCTTTAAGTAAGCCATTCTTCATATTTATTTAACAGATTTTTAACATTTTTTTATAAAGACCAGTAAAGCCACCTTAACAATTTAATGCATAAGGTATAATGCACTAGTTCAGTGTGACACAACTACATAAGATTTTAAACATTAAGAACAACCCATTTGCTTAACAAGGTAGCAACTACAAAACTATGTGTTCAGCTTATGTCTCCTGCAGACTCATAAAATAAATGTTCGTCTTTTTAACTTGCATTTATAATCTTTCTGCAATTCAGAAATCTTTAGGTATTCAATTTTAATTAATCTAGGCTAAAATACAATACTAAGTAATCTTCAATATTCTGGTTTAAAAATCACCAAATATTAATAACGTATGTTCTTAAGAAAGTATCTTTTTTGTAAATACAATTGACAAAATGTTCAACAAAGTATGTGCAATAGTGCCTTTGTATATAAGCATAGAGCCTTGTGTCTTTATAGAGCTACTGTAGTGTAATTTAACAATCATTGCTTAATAGCAGATGTGTGATAGTTCACATATAAACTATTAACTAAACTCTAAAATTTGGACATGTTTCAGGCAAATAATTTCTGAGAAAAGGCACAGATGTTTATTTACCAACCATCTCTTTAAGTGGTAATTTCCTTGAGAAGACAAAGTTGACAAAATAATTTTCAAGACACTACTAGTAAGTGTTTGGCCAAGCTCAATTTACAAAATTTTCAAAGGGTCAACTTGAAAATTCTTGAATATCTCTGAAAATAACATATCCTGTGGTGATGAAGCCCTCTGTGTTAGGCTTTGTTCACATTGGATTCTTGCCAAAGGCTGACTATACTAATTCTTTTCCAGAAAGGGAGACTTCTTGGGTTGTCCTAAAGGATATCTGCCCTTTCATTGTTTCAAATCTGAAAAGTCAAAAGGCTTAAAACCAAAGTCTTTTGTGAAGAAAGAAGCTCCAGTGGATGACTTCTCCCCACAATTTCCTAAATCAACTGATTAATAAATTGTTCTTATCAGAAACAGCACAGAAGATTGGATAGGTGTGTTTTTTTTCTTTAAAGTGCTAACAAAGCCCATTATCTCTAAATGAACTTTCATTGTAATGACTGAAATATAAGCAGCATAAAGTATATAGAAATTACACATCTAAATCAAATAGATTACAACTTTTTAGATAGATGCCAAAATTCTATACATTATCTTAACAATCATTACGCACAAGTACAGGCATACCTTGGATGTTGCAGGTTTGGTTCCAGATCACTTCGATGAAAGCAAATATTGCAATAAAGCGAGTCACATGAATTTTTTGTTTTCCCAGGGCGTACAAAACTTACGTTTACACTATAGTCTACTAAGTGTGCAATAGCATTATGTCTAAAATAATGATGTACATACTTTAATTAAACATTTTATTGCTAAAAAATGCTAACCATCACCTAGGCCTTCAGTGAGTCCTATTAGTAACATCAAAGATCACTGATCATTTAACTCTTTTGTCATTTACAGACAGTAAATGGGTGCACTCTGATGCTTTTGCAAAAATGTTCCTATAAAAGGGTTTCATCTTCAAGGAATTCATGGAAAAGACTGACAAGTACAGGTTTCTGGTAACTGACTATACTGCTGAATTGAATAAATAAGCATTTTCAGAACTCTAATGGAAAACTGATGAATTCATAAAAATGCTAGCAAAAGATCAAGATGAAAAAAAAATTACATGGGATTGAGTGAACTGATGAGGATGATTATAATTTTTGTGACTTTCTGTTTGAATTAAAAAAAACCCACAAGGAAAAAAAAAACCACTGATCACAGATCACCATGACAAACATAATAATAATGAAAAAGTTCCAAATATTGCGAGAATTACCAAGATGTGACACAGAGATGCAAAGTGAGCAAATGTTGTTGGAAAAATGGCACTGATAGACTTGCTCAACGCAGGGTTGCCACAAGCCTTCATTTTCAGTAAAACTGTAGTATCTGTGGGAATTCCCTGGCAGCCCAGTGGTTAGGACTCTGCACTTTCACTGCCGAGGGCCTGGGTTCAATCCCTGCAGGCAACTAAAATCCTGCAAGCTGCAGCAGCCAAAAAAAACCCAAAAACCAAAAACCAAAAAAATGTAGTATCTATGAAGCGCAATAAAGTGAAGTACAATAAAATGAGGTATGCCTATATACTTTACGAACTTGCCAGACTAATACAATAATTCAGTCTATCTAATGGAACTTAAAATATGACTGGTGAAAATCCAAAATCTAAAACTAGAACCAAAGCAGTCTCAAGCTCCTCTGAGACAAATGCCACAAAGAGCAGTGCTCGGAATTTCAAGTAATTTCTCAGTCTAATGAGAGACCTGTACACAGTTAATTGTACTGTTTATTAACCCTTCTGAATTGGCTGGCTTTAACCAGCTCAAATCCAAATCCAAAATCGTTTTTCCTTGTATCGGCCCAGAGTTCTGAGTTCTTTATTTTTATCAGTAACAGAGCTACAAGTGTGTTAGCAGCTTCTGAACTGCTCAGGTAGGGAGAAGATAGAATTCATTAAAAAGCCATTTATTATTAGAAGACTGAATGAGATTAACTTTAAAAAGTTAGTATTATTTCAGTTAGATAACGTGAAAATGAGGTTCCCATATGGTAATCTTCTAGATAATTAAGGCTACAGATCTAAGAGCCTGCTTTTCTAAAGCATTCTAATAGGACTGAGGCAATATGGAAAGTAGGATTTATCAATATGATGTGTCAGCATCACTAACACTCAAACATAACACCACATTTTCAAAAATCATCAGTAATTCATATGTAAATAGCAGCACAAACTAGTAATTTCCTTGCTAAAAGTGATATGGTGGTGCCCTCTGGTGGTAAAATTTAGCATTTAGCATACTCCCCCTGATATTGCATACCTTGTGAAATATAAAAAGTATATTTGTATTAGAGAATATCAAAATTAGACACCACCACAAAGGAATGAATCATTGTGCTTCCAAATATCTTCTTTTTAACCTTCAAATACATTGGTAACAAGAAAATCCCTGATCCATACTCCTAGAAATCAAGCTGACGCCTATGAGAATCTTGGTAAATGTCTATAATAAGCAATTCCTGTTAAAAGATTTACTTCCTGGTTCTAGAACTTAACTGAGAGGTTTTTGCATTTTCTAGTTTGGCTTTTAGATCTATGGGTTTCTCAAAAAACTTCACCAATGCTGGTTCATTCAACAAAGAGGCGAGAATCTGTTCAAATGCAAATGACCACTGAGGTTCTTCCCTGAGAGAGGAGGGATCTTTCTCTAAGTGGCTCTCTGTTTGCCCCTCACTGGGTCCTCCAGAAGCACAGACTGCACCAGACAATCCTTTGGTTGATGACGCAGGGTTATGGAGTTTCCTTCCAACTTCTTCCATCCTGAGCAAAAGGCTGGTTACAACAGCAATGGCTTGATATAATGACTCTTCTTCAGGGTCCCCGTGAAATAAGTTATATAGTGTCTTTGAAAACTGAATAAATTGTGACTAGAAGACACAAGTTAGAAATATCACATTTGATATTAGACTTAGCAAATATCAGGAGAACTTAGAAGTGAATAGTCTTCTATTTAGAATTTGTACCATATAACCTTCACCACAGAAGTTATAAGAACTGATGATTAATCCACAAATAAATCTTGATTCTAGAAAGATGGGTATGAACCATGAAAGAAAATTCCACTTAAGACTTCTCATCTGTTGCCTAATAACAGTAAATTATATACATATATTATATATACAATAATTCTTGGACAGTATCTGCCAGCATTCCATCAATGTTAGGTGGTACTTTTAATTAGGCAAAGTCCCATATTTCCTTACATGTAAATCATTCATTCATTAACCAATCTTAATGAACAGATTAAGAATGAGTTCCCCTTGATCTCCCCAAAGGGCTAGAGTAGGCAGCTCAACTAGGATGACTTAAATATAAGGAAGAATGTTTTGGGACCTATCTAGTAGTACAAGGTAGCTCTAAGGAGCCCATTTGGACATGTTTCTCTTTAAAAGCTAAGGTGGGGCCCAAGTAAAGAAATAACCTGGATTGTCTGCTAATTGCCTCTAGATAATCCATAGACATTCCTAGAAAATGTTTGTCAATTAAAAAAGAAACTATTCCGGGCTTCCCTGGTGGCGCAGTGGTTGAGAGTCCGCCTGCCGATGTCAGGGGACAAGGGTTCATGCCCCGGTCCGGGAAGATCCCACATGACGTGGAGCAGCTGGGCCCGTGAGCCATGGCCGCTGAGCCTGCGCGTCCGGAGCCTGTGCTCCGCAACGGGAGAGGCCACAACAGTGAGAGGCCCGCGTACCGCAAAAATAAATAAATAAATAAAAAAGAAACTATTCCAACACAAAAGTCCTATAAGTCAATCATGCTACCAGAAAAGTTTATACGTAAATAAAAAGCAAATAAAAAAGATAAACTTCATAAAAATGTATTGTACCATACTTTAAGTTTTCTCTTTCTTTCTTAGTCTGTAATACTGTTTATTTATTAAAAATTTAGAATAAATATATCATGATTAATTTTAAAAAGTACTTATTTAACTATCAAATTACCTAGTCCACTGAGAAAAACTACGCTATTTCATATTTCTCATTTTGGTAAAGTTCTGGGAATCCTCAGTATCTATACCAAAAGATTTAACAATTTTTTTAAATTTATTTTTTGGCCATGCCGTGTGGCATGCGGGATCTTAGTTCCCCGATCAGGGATCAAACCTGTGCCCCCTGCACTGGGAACTCAGAGTCTTAACCACTGGACTGCCAGGGAAGTCCCTATACCAACAGATTTTAATTAAAAAAATATAAGAACATATAATGACTGAATAGTGTGTAAGAAAGAGATGGATTTAGAATTGTATCAATAGGGCTTCCCTGGTGGCGCAGTGGTTGAAAGTCCGCCTGCTGATTCAGGGGACACGGGTTCGTGCCCCGGTCCAGGAAGATCCCACAGGCCGTGGCGCGGCTGGGCCCATGAGCCATGGCCGCTGAAGCCTGCGCGTCTGGAGCCTGTGCACAGCAACGGGAGAGGCCACAATAGTGAGAGGCCCGCGTATCGCAAAAAAAAAAAAAAAAAATAGAATTGTGTCAATAGTAGTCATTAATACTGTCTGAGCAGGTTTAAGATGATTAGGAACTAGGGTGTGACCTATTTTAATTATTATTCCCACTACCTAGCATTGGGCATGTCATCTAGTAGGCACTAAGAAATGTTTACTGAATAAGTGAACATTTCTAATAAAGCGGGAAATAAAAAACACTGAAATATATGTTATACACACATCTTTTCTATAGGTACAAATGTCACAGCAGAGGACTGTGATGAAACTCTAGATGCATTTAAATGTTTACAGCAGAAAATCATTTAAAAATTTACTCCCACTCTTCTATACTCATTTGAAACTTACAGAGATGATGCATAGATTATTTATTTTTGTAATAGCATGTTAGCTATTTTAGATTTGGATACACCCACATTCATTTATACAAAAACACACAAGTAAACCAGAATTTTTCTTTGAAAATACTATACCTGATTCATTCTTGGTAAATCCTTAATGTTTTCTTCTTTTCTCAAAAGCTCCTCTTGCCATTGACTTAGATATGCTTGAATGTCAACTTTTTCTTTTCCTCAATGAGGGGAATAAAACCATTTCATAATGAACAGCCCATTATATTTTCCCAAATCCCCAAAAGAACAATTTTGATTGAAAGATATTTCATTGAGATATAAGATTCCACATTTTTTACTCCAGAAATTGATCTGACTATACTTTTTATTTCACTCACTGGCTCTCAAAATACATTCTCCACTTCCGTTAAACTAAAACTTTTACTTTGGAAAGGTTGGGGACTAGAGGAAGAAGGATGCCTTTTAGATTAAACAGTACATGATGTAAATTTCATGTAGATGTTCTCATGCATACCACTAAGTTTAAAATAGCTTCTATATGATGTTCTTAGCATGCAGTTACCATAGCATACTATGGTGACTCTTTTTCAAAAATTCAAAACAGTACTTATTCATTCATTCCTTTGAAGAGTTTAATCACAATGATATTAATGGGACTTTATTAATAATTATTTAGATCTCTTAGAAAACTAGGATATACTGAACAACCTGGCAAAGTTATCATATTTAAGCAGATCTTCAGCAATTATTTTTTAACTAAATGTTACTCAAAAACATAAAAAGAATGATGGACCTTTGGAGAACAATTTGACAACCTCTATCAAAATATTAAAGGTACATATTCTTTGTTATCCAGCATTCTCATACCTCTATGAATTTATCCTATCCTAAAGAAATATGTGCAAAAGTATTATAAAATGTAAGTATAAAAATGTTTGTTGGAGAATAGTTTGCAATATAATTAATTGGAAACAACCTAAATGTTCATCAATATTGAGCTAGTTACTGAAATAAATGATGGTACAACCAAACAGTGGAATACTCTGCACCCATTAAAAGGAATAAGATAGATCCAAATGTACTGACATGAAAAGATGTCCATGATATACTACAAAATCAAAAAAGCAAATTGTACAATATTTATGAAATGTTTCTTTTTTAAAAGAGAGATGTCTATATTTGTTTATACATTGAAACAGGTCTGGAAAGAATACAGACCAAAATGTTTTCACATTTACTTCAGGGTGGGGTTGGGTGAGGGTATGAGGATTTCTGTACCATTTAAATTCCTTTTATAAGGATTATCTATTACTTATGTAATTAAAATTAATATTTTCAAATAATAAAATTAAATAAATACAGGTCATTTACAGTTGTATTTTCTATAACTTCTGAGACTTAAGTATCAAGAGAAGAAGAAGAAATTGTTAAACTAAAACAAAGGAACTGAAAAAGCTCTCAGGACAAATCAATCAATAGACTTTAAAAGGAATCCACGTTTCCCCTTTGTGTAGTTAACCCTATTTACAAAAACAATAATTTAAACTAAATGATACTCCTAGATCATATACCTTTTTCAGGGCTGTTTTTTGCTGACTCTGCTTCCTTCTCCTTTGCAGGCTTGGAAACTAGAGGAAAAGAGGACAATTGCATTTTGTAAAATATTTAACAAATACCTTTTGAAAGTAAAATAATATTTTATATAAAGACTTATAAGCACACTTTATGTTCTTCAATTCATCAAACCAATTATAGCTAACCTGACCTCCTATCATTAGATGGCAAAGTATTCAAGAACTTTAAAAAGAACACTGGGGAAAAATCCATATAAAAAATCTCAGGGCTTCCCTGGTGGCGCAGTGCTTGGGAGTCCACCTGCTGATGCAGAGGACATGGGTTCGTGCCCCGGTCCGGGAAGATCCCACATGCCACGGAGCGGCTGGGCCCGTGAGCCATGGCCGCTGAGCCTGCGCTCCGCAACGGGAGAGGCCACAACAGTGAGAGGCCCGCATACCGCAAAAAACAAACAAACAAAAATCTTAGAAGGAAGTATACCAAATATTAAGTATTTATTTCTGGGTGGTATGTGGTATTTTCTTCCTTGTGATTTTCTTCGAATTAAATTGTATTACTTCTTTTATTAGGGAAAAAACACACACACACCGGAAGTCAAAAGACTGAGCTACTAGTCCTGATTGTGGTAAAACCTCATTGAAAACTCTTACACGAGTCACTTCTCCTTTCTTGGCCTCAGTGCCCTCTATATAATTAAGGGACTTGACTAGATGATTTGTAAGGTCACTTCAAACACTAACATACAGTAACATAAACATACATTAATAAGAACTTATCCCTCTTTAAGACATTCATATTTATGAAAAAGAAGCAAAAGACACAAAAATTAGCTCATAACCCTTCCAAATTATGTCTTGGAGACAGACTCATCCCGGTCTCCTACACCTACAGTGATTTATGATAAGTATTCACTGTTTGAATAATAGCTATGACCTTCAATCATCAAAGATTCTATTGTCTTCATCGCATTTTAACAAGGCATAAAAAATGGTTGGATACTTTTTAGAAATTTCTGCTACAGAAGTAGAAACAAAATGCATTTTCTTTCTAATTCTCCAGTAAATAAGAAATTCCATAAATCAAAACCCAAAATGTAGTTTAGTTGATCAGTCAAATATTTATAGAGTACTTACCATGCATTTAGGACTGTACTAAGTGTTATGGTAGCACAAAAGAAGTATAAGGTATAATTAACCCAAATTTTACTAGTGGTAGCTGGGTAAAGAATGTTTAAGCCAGAAAGACCTCTGGGTGACTAATAATCAAAACAGATAAATTTACTTATTTATTTAGGCTGCGCCAGCTCTTAGTTGCAGCATGCAGGCTCTTAGTTGTGGCATGTAGACTTCTTAGTTGCAGCATGCGGACCCCCTAGTTGTGGCATGCAGACTCTTAGTTGCAGCATGCATGCGGGATCTAGTTCCCTGACCAGGGATTGAACCTGGGTCCCCTGCATTGGAAGCAGGGAGTCTCACCCACTGGACCACCAGGGAAGTCCCAAAACAGATAAATTTAAAACAGATATTTACCATGGAGCTGACTGAAATAAAGTAATTCTTCCTTGGAAAGTTCATCTCCCTTTGAAGGGTCCTTATACTTCACTTCAGTATAAGCTGAAAACAGATAACCCAAATCACATTTATAACAATGAGGGACAGAAACGAGTCCTATAATAGATCAATTAAATCTGGGGGCAGAGAATCAAACAAAGGGTCCCTGTCAAAAAAAGACATACGTGAAGAAATGTGGAAGTAGTATTACTCTACCGTATAGCAAATAACAAGAAGTACTTGATCACTTTGAGTTCTATTATTTTTCCAAATTTCTTGCTTTTTAATAGTTTTCCAAGAGCCACTACAAGTTGAAATTTAAAAATATGGGTTAATTGGATATACTCCAATATAAAATAAAAAGTTTTAAAAAATGTTTAAAAAATCTGGCACTTGGGAATCTCTGAAAACGTGACCTCAGTCATTTAAAAACGTCTTTAATAAGAAGGAAAACACGAAGTTGAGTGCTCTAACAGATACACAGTGTTTTTTCTATTTTTGATCCTTCTATTGAAAGCGTACTCATTCCATGGCAATATTAGACATTCTAATTTGACTTGACAATGTAAAGTCCTTCATAGTTATTATTTGGTTTGTCTTTTGTTTTAAATGCTGTGATTGTGACTTGAGTTTGTGAAGGGTTAAAGATGGCTTTTAGATTTCTGGTCTGGTAAAGAATGGTTCCCAGCTATCCTGGGAAGGCTCTAAAAGATCTTAGGTGTAGCTTTAGACAAATTATGAGGTACTTTTTTTGTGTGTGTGTGTGAATCACCCTATCTAAGCTAAAAGGTACTTTTGCAATGTTCCTTTAAAGTCTAAGACTGGTTTCCCAATTATGGATCAGGCCTGGAAAAGGCTGCCTCTTAAGGTCAGAGGGAAATACTTAAGTAAAGTGGAATGATGTGGTAACATTAAGGCAGTATGGTAGAATAGGAAGAAACCTGTGCTTTGGAGTCAGACTTCAGTTTGAATCTCAGCTAACCAATTTATTAGCTATGTGATCTTCAGCAAATTTAATCTTTCCCTTAGTTTCCGTATCATCAAAATTGGAAGGATAATACCACCTTTCAAGGATATCATGAGAACTAAATAAAAGACTGCACGTAAAGCAAACACCTCGACAGAGCAAGTGCTCAATAAATGGTAGCTTTTATTTTGCTTCCTTTTTTTAAAAAAAAATATTTATTTTTAGCTGCATTGGGTCTTCGTTGCTGTGCACGGGCTTTCTCTAGTTGTGGTGAGCAGGGGCTACTCTTCGTTGCGGTGTGTGGGCTTCTCATTGCGGTGGCTTCTCTTGTTGCAGAGCACGGGCTCTAGAGCACAGGGTCAGTAGCTGTGGCACGCGGGCTCAGTAGTTGTGGCTCACGGGCTCTAGAACGCAGGCTCAGTAGTTGTGGCACATGGGCTTAGTTGCTCCGCGGCATGTGGGATCTTCCTGGACCAGGGCTCAAACCCGTGTCCCCTGCATTGGCGGGAGGATTCTTAACCACTGTGCCACCAGGGAAGCCCTATTTTGCTTCCTTTTCCAAATGTTTAATATCCCTGTTGCCTGGTCTCATTTTTCTGAATAATTTGTAGTATTTCACAAGTTTAGCAGTTTGTCTAAAGTTAAATTCAACTCTCTAATAACAACAACAACAATAAAAATTCAACATTATGACAATATTCAAATGATAGATAGTTCCTACACACAAACTACTTATCATTAAATTGATTGAACACTAACAGGAAGGAAACTTGTGAACCCATCTGTTGCACAGAAACTCTTCCATAGATGTCAGTGTAACTATATATCAGCAAAAATATTGCTAATATGATCCATGGGCCACAATGAAGCAATGACCTTATATCATATGGAAAATTACGTTATTTGTTAAAATGGAATGATATCTGTAATTATACTTGTTAAAATGGAGTCAACTCCTATATATCACTAACAACTGTTAAATTCTTACCTGGAGGAATATGCAGCTTAAAAAGCACCTTAAGCTTCTCAGTAAAACTTCCATTGTACATTATGTCTGTTCAATAAAATTAAATTGCAAATAATCACAGCCAAAGAACATTCAATCAATTCCAGCAACACAGATTAATTAAGACACAGATACTAGCCAGGAATTAGGATTCAGAAACCTTCTGTTACTTAAACTAACTGTTAAACAACTACCCAGTAGGCCAGATTCTCTCCTTGAAGTATATAAGCAAAATACCCTTTATCAGAGGGATAAATAAAATGCTCTTCTGCTGAACTCTTTCCCCCAATCCCAATCTAAAATTTACTTTTTCTTTTGAATGAGGCCTTATGCTTCATCTGAGGAGAGAACTCCTCTTCAAGGGGCAATCCCTGATAAGAAAGCATGCTAGGTTGTCTGGAAAAGCAAAGGAATGATATAACCAGTGGACTATCTACAGGCACAAAATGTTCATTGAATATTTCTCTACCACTTTTCTAGGCTATGTGGTTGGATTTTTACTGAGGGAGAACGTCCTCCTGAAGAATCCATGTGCCTGAAGGTGGGAAAATCAGGACATTCTCTTCCTTCATTAAATCATCCACATCTAACAGCTTGTTTTTCTGGGAGGGTTGGGGCAAAATGAGATGAATATATTTAGACTTAGCAAAAAACAAAGAAAATGGTCCAGTTATTGCTAAAGTTGGAGACAATGTAAATCTGATAAAAAAATCTGATATCAGGCTGATAAAATCTGACTAAATTGGCAATGATAGGCAGTACTAAGTATTTCTAGGGGTACCTTTATTTTTTTGCTTTAAAAAAGAAGATTATTGGACATCATCCTACCAATTGCAGAGGAGAATTCTTTGAAGTTTATAAGGCAGTCGGAGTTTTCATCCAACAATCTGAATGTCCATAAAGCTAGTGAGTCTCTGTTTGCAGAATGAGCCCAGGGACTCAACAAGTGATACAACACTCTGAACTGCTGGCAGTCAATCTGATACTGTTCCAAATATGGCAGACTAGGATCATGGTGCTTCAATACTGGAGAACTCAAACACCAATAGTAAGAAAAAAACAACTCTCTCTATTTAAGAAATGGGGAAAAAAAAAAAAAAAGCAAAGTCATTATATCAGAAAAAGTAACTTTATAAGATTTTTTTCTTTTAAACATGTCTACTAAAGTAATTAAAGATAAAATAGTTGAACAGTTGTGGTAAAATTCTGCTAAGAATATTATTTTTCATTTAAAGAAGGAAAACAGTACCTTAAAGATGACATAAAGTTCATCCAATTCATGAAGGCTCAATTTCACATCTTGTGATACAACACGCAACTTTAAAAGGATTAAAAGCAATTTAGAATTTAACACTTCAGCATAGAAATTCTCTTTGAATCAATTTAGAAATCTCCCTCTGCCAGAATAAAATATATTTTTTTTAACTTTTTAAAGGAATAACAAAGTAAATGTACATATTTTCCCTTTTAAAAAGTTGTACAGAGACTATAGCTCAATTCTATTCTGATATGTAATTTGACCTTCATCTCTTCATATCCAGAGATAACTGCCAAAGGACAGCCACTTAATGTCTATAAATATAAGCAACAATATTCTATAGTTTTTTTCCATATATTCCTGTCTTGCTATATAAGCAATCTGTCAAGTCACCATATGGGGTTGTCATTAAACACTTCAAAGTCACTGGGAGATGTACATTCCCTCTCTGTGCCAAAAAACGTAATCTATCCCAGAGCATAGAAAAATATGATTTGTTCCAAAATCCATTCTATGACGTGAGCACAATTCTAATATGAAAACTAAAGTTAGCGCACACACACTATAAGCCAATGTCACTTTAACACAGATATAAAGAACCAAGCTAAACTATTTAGGAAAATTATCAAAGCAGAATATTAAAAGAATAATACAACACGAACAAACAGGACTCATTTCAAGAATCCAACGGAAGTCTAATATTAGGAATTCTTTAATGTACTTTACTACATTAATAAATATAACCTCAAGATATGGAAAAGTTATTTGATCAAAGTTAACATTCAATATAGATTTTTTTTAAATGTCCCAAATCCCTTAACCTAGAAACTGAATGAAACTCCTTAATTTGCTAAAAGGCATCCTTCAAAAATCAACAGCAAATATCATACTTAATAATAAAATACCAGAGGCACTTCTACTAAATTCCAGAATGAGACAAGGAAGGCTACTTCCACTGCTATTATTTAATACTTCTCTGAAGGTCCTACCCACTACAATAACACCAAAAAACTGAAAACAGGTATATATATTAGGAAGCGCCAAAACTCTAAGACTAGAAATGATATGCTTGTCTATTCAGAAATTCAACTGAAAAAAATTAGAATTAATGAGAGTCAGTAACACAGCCACTTAAAAAAGCAACATGTGCAAATCAATGGCTTTTACATATACTATAATAAACAAATTAGAAAATGTAAAGAAAAAAGATCTCATTCATATTAGTAACAAAACCATAAAATATATAGGAGTAGACAAACCCAACAAGAAATGTGTAAGATCTATATGATGAAAACAATAAATGCTTACTAAAGGACATTTAAAAAGACATCATTAAAATGGATATTAAAAAGGAATATTAAAAGCCTTACCAGATTTCAAAATGGACTATAAAGCCACAATAATTAAAACAGTGTGGGGCTTCCCTGGTGGCGCAGTGGTTAAGAATCCACCTGCTAAGGCAGGGGACATGGGTTTGAGCCCTGGTCTGGGAAGATCCCACATGCCACAGAGCAACTAAGCCCGTGCGCCACAACTACTGAGCCTGCGTGACACAACTACTGAAGCCCACGTGCCTAGAGCCTGTGCTCCGCAACAAGAGAAGCCACCGCAATGAGAAGCCCACCCACCACAAGGAAGAGTAGCCCCCACTCACCGAAACTAGAGAAAGCCCGCATGCAACAACAAAGAGCCAACGCAGCCAAAAATAAATAAATAAATAAAATAAATTAAAAAAAAAAAAGAAACAGTTACAGAAAAAAAAGAAACTACAGAAATAAACCCATATTAGCATATGAAAAAGGCAGAGTAGAGTACAGTAACAATGGAGGATTCAATAAATGGTATTCAAATAATGGGCTATTTCAGTTGGGAAAAAAATACCATTAGAGTCCTATATCACACTATAAACAAAATATATACTTTACGTGTATTCAAGATCTAAATGTTAAAAAAAAAAACAGGGCTTCCCTGGTGGCACAGTGGTTAGGAATCTGCCTGCCAATGCGGGGGACACAGGTTCAAGCCCCGGTCTGGGAAGATCCCACATGCCGCAGAGCAACTAAGCCCATGCGCCACAACTACTGAGCCTGCGCCCTAAAGCCCGCAAGCCACAACTACTGAAGCCCGTGTGCCTAGAGCCCGTGCTCCACAACAAGAGAAGCCACCGCAGTGAGAAGCCCACGCACTGCAACGAAGAGTAGCCCCTGCTCGAAGCAACTAGAGAAAGCCCGCGCGCAGCAACAAACACCCAACACAGCCAAAAATAAGTAAATAAATTAATTTTTAAAAAAACAAAGCAATACCAGTACTATAAGCCAATATGAGAAAGTATGTTTATAAATTATATAATTTTATATGCGGAAGGCCTTGCTAAGTTTGACATGAAACACACACAATATGTAAAAAAAGAAGAGATTTGACTACATAAAATTTTGAAAGTTATATACTCTGAAATACATCATAATACATCATAAAAATTAAAGAAACAACAAGATTGGTGGAAATGTTAGCCACAAATATAATTGACAAAGAATTAATACCACTAATATTTTTAAAATGTGACGCTAGTGGGAGTGTGGGGAAAAAGGCATTCTTACACACTGTTGGTGGGATTATAATTTGATACAAATCTTTTAGAGGATAATTTAGCAGGACCTGTCAATGTTTAAATACTCTTACAAATGTGTAAGATTAGATATACAGTTGACCCTTGAACAACTCGGGGGTTAAGGGTGCTGACCTTCCACACAGTCAAAAATCTGCATATACTTTACAGTTGGCCCTTCATATCCATGGTTCCACATCTGCAGATTCAACCAACCATGGATCTTGTAGTACTGTAGTACATGTTTATTGAAAACAATCCACATGTAGGTGAACCTGTGCAGTTCAAACCCATGTTGTTTATATAAGGTATTACTTGCAAAAGCGAAAAAACATTAAAATGAAAGAGAGAGGGAGACCTACTAAATGGAGACCTACTATTCAGTGCATTAAGAGAAGCGAGGTATGCAATAATATGCAATGACCATGATATAGCTCTGAGTGAAAAAAGTTGCAGAACAAAGTAACTGGTATGATCTCATTTGAAAAGCTATATTGTCCCCCTCCCCCCCACCACATACACATTTATGTCTATAGATATTTAGAAAAAAGATCTGGAAGGATACATGCCAAATCATTTTAATGTTAGTTACTCCTGGGGTAGGAAACTTCTACTTTTTTACATTTCTATAATGTTTGAATTATTCACAATGAGCATGTATTCAGAAATGTTAATTTTCCCAGATTTGTACCTCTGAGGACTTAACCTTTAAGCAAGTAGGTTTACAAAAACAATACATGATCATGATAAAAGCTCAAACAGCACAGAAGGATTCATACAGCAAAGTAAAACACTCTCTCTTCCAACCAGAAATCTATTAATTCCACTCACCAGAAGCAACCAATATTAACAGCTTCTAATGCAGTCATCCAAATACTAAAAAGGAGTACTTAAAACACACTGTTTATTCCTTTTTCACTTTATCTTGGGTATCCAAGGATAATAATACATATTAGCAGCCTAGAGTACTATGTAGGTCAGCTGTTCTTATTGATGAAGCACATCACAAATATGTTATGCTTAAATGCCTACATCATAGCATTCAATATTAAAGGTCACATAACACAACACATGTTGGAAAACCAATGCTTCAACCAGAAGAAAATCACTTATTTCCTCTCAAAAAATTTACAGTAAGCTAAGCTGTGGCAAGAATCTAGCTCAAATATATAGTTATTTTATTTTCTTAACATGAAATGATAATTTTTAAATGAAGTTCAGGAAAAAAATGTTACTCCAATTGGTTTTCCCCCATTGGGTGGATACTCACCACATTCTGCTTTGTTGTTTCCTCTAGGGTCTGTATCACATACAACCTATTTCGACAGCGCATGCTGTATATATCTTCATAGCGAATACTCCCATATTTCTGCAAAAAATATGATTTCAGTGGATACTCATTCATAATAAATATCCACTTTTCTTACAATTGAATTTCATCAGATTCAATTCTCAGAGGCCTTGGTTCTATTCCTAGCTATTTTCCCAACTTCTTCAGTGATTATGCAAATTTTCACCTCCTACGTTTCAGTTTTTCTGTATATTCACAGGAGAGGATTCCATCTACTATGGGTCTAGACTAAGTACAAGAACACTGGTAAAATTCTTAGTCTCTAAGAAGAGAATATTTTTCACCTTTTTATGCAGCGATAGATATTTAAAAGTGGTCATTATTTGTAAAACTATGTGAATAGTTTCATTTAATGAAAAGCAAACTGAAGCAGAGGAAGCTATATAACGTAGGAACAGTTCATAGAACTCATTTTTAAAGTGAAATCAGAGTTTACATTACTGCATCTTTACATGTATTATTATCTTACTCTTAATATACCACTAGAGATATAACTATAGTATCTATCATTTTAAATATGCTATGTAATTATATTTATGGTATAAGAAAAACTTACCTCATTTGACTCTCTAATCAAATCTGTAATATCCACTCTAATATGACTGCTTTTTTCATCACTTACATTTGAACCCTGCTGCACACTTGAAGGCAACGGGCTATCCTTATTAGTGACATTGTCAAAGAACCTATCCAAAAGTGACAGTAATACAAGAATCAGTAGAAGTAAAATACAGAGAAAATGACAGCTAATTTCTCCCTAGTTCGAGATTAATTTCTACCGAGAGGACAAGGGACAGTCTTATGAGGGAGGAGAATTTGAAGATGGTTGGGAATTAGGAGGACATGGGAGTGGGAAATGGGATGGTGATGAAATGACTTCAGAGGTGGGGAGGAGAGCATGGGGAAGCAGATAGGCTCAGAGTTTTCTCAGAAAATACCACATGGCCCAGTAAGGGTGGAATATACGGTATGTAGAGGCACGTGAGGAGAAATAATTTAAGAAAGATACATTGAGGCCTTAACATTGAGAGTTCTAAATACCAGAGTGAGGTGTTTATACTTTATTCTTTATAAATAAATGGGATTTGATGCACCATTACAAGTTACCCAAATATTCATATATTCATTCATTTAACATATACTGTGTATACACAAACACACACACACATATCCCACACATGTGTTTCAGTACAAAATAGAATTCACAGAAAACGCACCAGGAAAATAAAGCTCAGCTTACCTGATTGAAACCACTTGAAAACCAGAACAATTTCCCCCCACTGGACATTTAATATTATCAACCACCTCCCCCACCTCAAATTACTCTTACACACTTTATAGCTCGAACTGGGACTATGAAAGTCCCAGCATACCGAATCAACCATATTAGATGTTAGTGTAAATGTATATATAACCTAGTGGTTTACTTCAAAGTGACTGACTTACTTTTGTTATATTCTATTTAGAAACAGAGGAGTGGACTTTAGGCCTAGCGTTTTCATTCAACCAGCTTTGTGACTTTGGGCAAATTATTTAAAGTTTCTAGGGCTCAGTTTTCTCATCTATAAAATAAGGGGTTTGAACAACATAAGCTCTAAGGGGCTCTCCAGATTTAAATGTTATGATTCTCACAGTACCTGTTTAAAGCTGTCACAGCTTCAGCATCATCTTTACATGCCAGAAGTTTGTCTAAATTATAGTCAAGTATTGCCAATCCCAGTTGTAAAATGGCCTTTATTCCATCATAGAAGAAACAGTCCACCACATTCACTGCACTTTCAATAGGTAGCACACTAATAAAAAGTGTGAGGAACCATGAGAGAGAAACTGAGGAAAAGAATGTCATATCAGTCATATGTTCAGTCAGCTGGGGAAGGTGATCTCTGATAAGTTCTTCAAAGACTGCCTGATCCACCAAGGCACCTGGAGAACATAAAAAGAAATTTTAAAATGAACACCTTTCAAAAGGACTTGTTTCCAATACCTTCCCACTTCTATTAGTAGGCTGATATATCTCATTTCTCTTCCTTAAATTATGAACTTCTTCAGTGCCTTTTCTATATTTCATGCATCTCTTTATCTGCTAGCAGTATCATGCATCAAGAAGCACTTGAGAAACTCAATTCATATTCATTGGAACAGTTATTTATGGAATCTTTATTATGTGCAGAAACCTGTAATAGGTACTATAAGAGATACATCAATTAATTAAATGGTCTCATCTTCAAAGCGTTTAATCTCTAATAGAACTTGCAATAAATAGACAAATAATTATAACACAAGACAATACAGTCAACGACCTAGCCATGACACCGAAGGCTTATGAGGGTACAAAGGAGACCACCTATGGTTTTAAGGTAGGGGATCATGGATCTACAAATATTTGATGACTGAAGAAAATATTATATAAGTAACAAACTAAGAACTTGATCCTTCTTTCAAAGCTTGAATATATCTATACAATTCATAAAAATGTGGAGATTTTAAGCTGATTAAAATCTCTCTCACATAAAGAGACTATTAAAATTTTTCCAGTAACTCCAGATGCTTCAGATTACCACTGTTTTAGCAATACAGAGATAGTAAACTTAAAACTTCTATTTTATATGGAAACAGACCAGGCACTTTATTTTTAAAAAGCAACGTATTAAATAATACGTTTTTCCAATCATATGTTCAGTGCAAAAAGCTCTTCTCTTGAGCATGTCAGTGAATGTGACATTTGATATTGCTTGCATTTTGTATATTTTGCAACTTAATTATCAGTTCTTCCACTTGATAGGTAACTGGATAGACAAGAGGCCTATAAATTGTTTAGAAAAGAAATATGTGTTCATATATGTATATGTGTTTTGTTTTTTACCAATGATTCGACGATTAAAATAATCAGGTAACATTCGTTCACATACAGCAACCAGAAGCCAAAAAGCTTCTTCCTCTTTTGCATACAGAAGCAATACTGAAGTCAAAATGTTCATTGCCTAAAATTCATAGAAAAATAAAAAATAAATATTGTTGGGGTAATAATTACATTTCTTATTCAAACATAGTAATTTTCAGCAATAACAACAACTATGAGAGTAATCATAATGGAAACATGAGAACTCTGAGCCAGTCCAAAGCAAAACAAGGTGAAGTCACACTAACGTTTGCTAATCAGTTATTTTACACGGTACATTCAAGGAAAATGAAGCAATAATATCATGAACATAGCATACAATAAGTAAAACCTCTCTAAATTTAGACTAATTTCAATGAGTAAAAAATATTAATTATCGCCAAGTCTTAAAAAAACACTACATACTTTCAAGGACATACTAACATTGGAGAAACAAACTTCATCTGTATTTTCAACTACCTACAGGAGAACATCCCTTAGATGTCAATCATCCTCAATTGTGTCTAAAACTAAATCTTTCCTCTATTAAATAGGATTCTCTTCTTTGCTACCTTAATTTTGATCACGCTAGAAACCCTTTATCTGCCACATCCAATTTGTCTTCACATCCTAGAGTTTCTTCTTATAAAATGTATTTTTATTTTTATTTTTATTTATTTATTTATTTGGCTGCACCACACAGCATGCAGGATCTTAGTTCCCCGACCAGGGATTGAACCTGTGCCCCCTGCAGTGGGAGCGCAGAGCCCTAACCACTGGACTGCCAGGGAATTCCTAAAATGACTTTTAGATTTTCTTTATCCTCTCCATTCCCACTACCACCCTAACTTTCTCCTTCTTCTAATCTATCTTCCATACAAATGTCAGATCACTACATTTATATAACATTTGGCCATAGCCCTTATTATAAAGTTAATAAACCCATAATGTATAGAATCTGGGAAGAATGGAAAGGTGTGAAGAAAATTAAATCTCCTGTATCTTACCTACCTAGAGATCACCACCATTAACAAGTTGATGTACTTTTTTTGTGTTTGTATTTCCTTCCTTTTTCCCCTTCTAAAATTTAGACCAAACTGTATATTAAAGTTTGATTTTTCACTTAACATTATATTATACATTTTCAATGCCATTAAATAAGTCTTCTAAAACAGTATTTTTAATGACTGTAAAAAATCTATTAAGTTGAATATACTATAAATTATTTAGCTATTCTATTATTGAACATTTAGGTTGATTTCAACTCTTCACTATTATATATAACAATGCAATGAATATCTCTGTATATAAATCTTCATCCAAGTGGTTTACTATTTTCTCAGTAAAGATACATAGAAATTAAATTATTTGGTCAATGAATATTATTATTTTTGTGGTATGTGTGTAAGAAGTACTAAATATTCTCTATTTGATGCTATACATAAACCACACTAAAATGCCTTTCATTAAGTAAAAGGCAATATTTTAGATAGATAGAGAATTTTAATTAAATTGGCATAGTTAAGCCCAAAAAGAGAAAGTGGACATTGCCAGTGTATCTTCAGCCCTTGCCTTAACAGGCGAATGAACACAACTTGAAACACAGGTGAATCTTGCTGTTCTATGAGACAGTGAAGAGATCTTCTCAATATTTAAATATATTAATATAAACAGTTATATGAATCTAAATATAAAACCAATCTCCTATAGGGTTTGAGAAGGCATTCACTATATGCCTGAAAAGTTTAACATTTCTTATTCAAGTTTAATCATCTCTTTAGAAGGGGAAAAGAGTGATAGTACTTGTTGAACCGGAATCACTATCAAAATTCAAAAAGCTGACCATATTCTTTTTTTTTAAATAATCAACATGCCATTTAGGTGCATATATATATATATATTTTTAACAGCAATTTATTTATTTATTTTTAAAATTTTATTTATTTATTTATTTTTGGCTGTGTTGTGTCTTCGTTGCTGCGTGCAGGCTTCTTCTGGTTGTGGCGAGCGGAAGCTACTCTTCATTACGGTGCACAAGTTTCTCATTGCGGTGGCTTCTCTTGCTGCGGAGCACGGGCTCTAGGCGCACAGGCTCAGTAGTTGTGGCTTGCGGGCTCTAGAAAGCAGGCTCAGTAGTTGTGGCGCATGGGCTTAGTTGCTCCGTGGCATGTGGGATCTTCCCAGATCAGGGCTCGAACCCATGTCCCCTGCCTTGGCAGGCAGATTCTTAACCACTGTGCCTCCAGGGAAGTCCAAGCTGATCATATTCTTTTAGCCACAAACCAATCTTATTTAAATCAGGACAGAAATATTACCTCAGCCATTCATGATCTGAATTGCAGTGTATGAGATCAATTTAAATATGGTACACATAAAAAATCATGAGACATTTGTTTCGTAATAAATATGGCAGTGGCCAACTACTACTCATTAGTAGCTTTTTTGAGATAAGCTATCAAGTCTGCCCTTTCTCCCTTCTTAAACCCAGTGAAGATCATTTTTGTTCCAGGGATGTACTTCTTGGGATTCCCCAAATACTCCATCAGCATCTCCTCTCCCCAGGTGATGCCTTTGTTCCTGTTGGCAGCTGTGTAAGAGAATCTGAAAGTCTGACCTGTCTTTCACCCAAACAGACCATGGAGATTTGGCCCAGTCTTGTGCTTGCCTCCCTTTTCCACAGTATGGCACTGAGCACACTTCTGAACAAAAATCTTCTTGCCCTTCTCAACATCACCCATTTTTAAATCGTTCTTTCTCCGTGCACAACTAAGAGGTTCCCCTGAATATTATTATTAAACGACTTGATATTACTGCCAAATTGTATTCCAGAAATTGACTGTACCAATTTGTTTTTCTGACCTATAGCATTTGAATGTTTACTTCACTGCTCCTTTGCCAATACTAAGAATTGTAATAATTAAAATTGCTTTTGCTGATTTGATAGTGAAAATGGTATCTCATGGTTTGAATTTGAGTTTCTTTGATATTGAACTTCCTTTTCTAAACTTTATTATCAATTGTATTTTTTTCTGTGATTCATCTTTTCATGTCCATTGTTCTTTTTTTTTTTTTTTTTTTTGCGGTACGCGGGCCTCTCACTGTTGTGGCCTCTCCTGTTGCGGAGCACAGGCTCCGGACGCACAGGCTCAGCGGCCATGGCTGACGGGCCCAGCCGCTCCGCGGCATGTGGGATACCCCCAGACCGGGGCATGAACCCGCATCCCCTGCATCAGCAGGTGGACTCTCAACCACTGCGCCACCAGGGAAGCCCCATTGTTCATTTTTATAATTCAACACTTTTCTTATAGGTTTTTATATTAAGTATGTCAATCCTTTGTCAGATCTGGTACAATATTTGACTTCAAGTTCAGTTTTTACTCCATCACTTTCCTGTTCAAGAAGTCATAATGGGAGGAGCATCAGTGAAAATGGCAGAGTAAGGCTTTCCGAAAATGCTTTCCTCTATAAAAGCAACAAGAACACTAGCAAAAATCATCAAAATCAATTTTTCAGAACTCTGAAAATGCACCAAAAGCTTACAGCAATTCAGGAAGCCTTTACTTAATGAAATGGTTGAATCTCAGTAAAAAACAGTGAGCTCTGTGGCATTTTAAATCGTCCAAGTCCCATTCCTCCTCCGCTTTACAGAAGCCTGAAAAACCAACACTCAGCAATCATGGTGAAAAGCAGCACCTAGCAGCCATGGGAGGAAACAGAATGGGGCTGGAGCGCCTTCACAGTCCCATTCCCAGAGATCTGTCATTATTTGACCCATCTGGTCATTCCCTGGAAAACCGCACTCATAAGGCTGTCTTTATTTGACCTGACACAGAGCTCACCCAAGGCAAACAGCCTTTCCTTGAAAAAATGTTCCTTGAAAAAATCAGAAGCAGTTGTTGAACATGCATCTGCCTGAGGCAGTGGATAACAACTGGGCCAAACAATAGGCTAATAAAGGGTTAAAATAAAAAGCTGGGAAATGGGATATCCAAAAGGGGCTTTGGAACGCTCTAACTTATTCCTGGGAATCTAGAAGGCAAAGTGCATGATATGGCTTCATGCCTGCCCAGAGCTGTATGCATGCTCATGATAGAACAGAAAAAGCCCTAAGCTCTTACCTCTGGCTAATCTTGAGGCTCTGCACAAACAGGAAGTGATAGAGAATAGAAAAAAAATAAGGAAAACTCAACAAAACCAAAAGTTGGTTCTTTGAAAAGATTAAAAAACCTGAAACACATGTAGGTAGTCTAACCAAAAAGATAAAAAACAGAAAGATACAGAGAGACAGAGAGAGAGACTCAAATTAAAATCAGGAAATAGAGAACATTACTACCAACCTTAACAAAAATAGAAAGGATTATAAGGGAATACAATGAACAACTATATGCTAACAAATTAGACAACCTAGATAAAATGGACAATTTCCTAGAAAAACCACCAAGACCAACTCAAGAAGAAACAGAAAAATCTGAACAGACTTATTATAAGTAAAGAGACTGAATTAATAATGAAAAAACTTTCTTCAAAGAAAACTCGAGAAACAGATGGCTTCACTGGCCAATTCTACCACAATTTAAAGAAGAATTAACACCAATCCTTCATTAACTCTTCAAAAAATAGGCATGGAAGAAACACCACCTAGCTCATTCTTTGACACCCTGACACTAAAACCAGACAAAAACATCAAAAGAAAACTATTATCAATACATTTTATGAATATAAATGCAAAAATCCCAAACAAAATACTAGAAAACTGAACTAACATATAAAAAGGATTACACATCATGACCCAGTAAGATTTATCCCGGGGATACAAGAGTGGTAAAACATGAAAGTCCACAAGGGGAGGACCTTCAAGATGGCGGAGGAGTAAGACGTGGAGATCACCTTCTTCCCTACAAATACATCAAAAATACATCTACATGTGGAACAACTCCTACAGAACACCTACTGAATGCTGGCAGAAGACCTCAGACTTCCCAAAAGGCAAGAAACTCCCCACGAACCTGGGTAGGGCAAAAGAAAAAACAGAGACAAAAGAATAGGGATGGGGCTTGCCTTGTGGCGCAGTCGTTGAGAGTCCGCCTGCCGATGCAGGGGACA